TTTTGGAACTCCTTTTCAGCCCTCCTACACTTATCTTTGCTTGGTTTCTGGCTCTTGCATACATCCTCCTGTCTGTTTCATCGCTTGACCCAACCCACGCCTTGAATTTCTGGCTTAATTTTGCCAGACCGCCGCAGATGGTTCATGTGTAGGGATCCTCGTATTCTAGAAGCACCAGTTTGGTCTTGTATATATTTATCGACTAAAATGGGCCATTTTACTAGTTATGATATTCAGCTTAGTGTCTATGCTTCAGAATTTTAATAAGTCAGGCCAGCTGATACCTCATCATCTCTCTTCCCCTCATCCCATTGTACTTTGTAATATTGGCACCTTGGCCTGGCCTTATCTTAACCAGTAACAGTTAAATCTGAATGACAACACTGTATGGTGACTGGTAGCTAACTGGGCAAGGTAGCCCAGTTTGGCCACCATACCCTCCTCAGTTTGTTATGATGAGGTCAAGTGGTTTGGGTGTTTGTTCCTCTGTAATACGTATGTCGGGTCTCTCACATGTTGGAACAGAAAATTATCTCAGAGTTTCTACAAAAAAGAGTAGCAGGATTATTCAAGCCATTCGGGTTGACCTGCTTCAGTTGACACCATAGTTAGTAAAGTCCCCCATGATAAGGAGGTACGAAGGAGCATCGCCGCATTGTTTATTAAGGTTCTAAGTTCTTTGATTTAGTGGGCCAGCTAGTTCGGGATCTGTAGATACACCACTACAAGTCCTCCTTAATTGACTTACATCACTTGGACTCAAAGACATCCTCTCCTTGTACCCTCGCCTGGCTGGCTCTAAGGTCTTGCCTAGCGAGATAACTACAATTCTCCTGCAGGATTCTTGAGTTAGGTTCGTAAATGAGTCATATCCAGCAATACTGAACCCACATTCCTCTGGGTCGATTCTCCTGTTCTTGTACAACAGTTCTACAACTCCTACAATATCTGGTTGGTGTACTCTTAGTAGTGTTTCAAACTCTCCTCTTATCAAGGAACGTGTTCTGCATGACATTCAAGCCAGAATTTGTTCTCGGTAACGTCTCTGCTCTTAGTAATAAACCCGCCTCCACCCACATTCTCAGAAGCTGCAGCATTTGCTAAGTACACTGTATTTTTGCAGGTGTGGTTAAAAATGTCATTGTTTACACGGCGCTGCCTCCTGTCCGTAGGCTGAGCTGGTGCCGCCTCCCGGTGGGGGGTTGAGGTGGAGGGTGCACTGCTGCCCCTGGCCCTGTGTCGGCACACTTGTTTCCACTACCTCCCCCTGAGTATAACCCATGTGCGCTCGTCCCTGCTCCTCGACTCTCCCTCTTCTGTTTCAAGTCCAGCATAGGAAGTTTTGTGTTGTTCTCTAGTCATCTGTACAGCCTGGGTGAATAAATACATCCTCAAATGCCTCGGCCCTTGCTAAGTTTTTGCCTGCCGGATAACTTGCCATTTTTCCTCCCTACCCCTAGTGATCCTGAGGGGCCAGGCTTAACCCCTGCTTTTGTCCCAGCTCACATCCTGAGGGGTTGCTGGAATCTTCAGAACCTCTGTGTAAATATTTTGAAACAGCACCTTTGTCGTGGTGTTTCTCATTCACAGTTCCTCTGCCTGGCTCTCTGGGACTCCAAAACTATTACATTGAAACCTCAAGGCTGGAGCCGCTCCTGGTGTTCCTCCTCTCCCCAACAGTAGGTCCGTCATGACCATTTCTTCGACACACTTTTTCAGAGTCCCAATCTGCTGTAGAACCTGTACTGATTCTGCATTACCCCCCCACCCGTGGCCCTCCTAATACGTCCTCAAGATAGCCCTCTTAGCAACCAATTCCATCTCTATTATTAGCTAATTCTCAGTCTTAGCAAGGATCTCTTTCAACTTGTCTAGTTTGTCAACCAGCAGGGCCTTGCTTCTCTGTCTATTTTCGTCCCTAGAGAACTCTGTTCCCTTATGGATTGCAATCGCTCATTCACCTTTGACTATGCAGCCAGGGCAATACCAGCAACAGCCATCAAGCTTATGTTAGTAACTTCCTCAAACGCTGCATTAGTTAGGCCTGCATCCTCCATATCCGGACGCCTCCCTGCAGTAATCACATACCAAACTCATGGCTGTTGTTGTTGTGTAGACTGTGTATAGATCTACACCTATTTCAAAGAAAATAAAGAGAGAAAAAGTACTTAGCTACTCTCTGCGTTTCCAGGAGTTGTTTGCCTATGCATCAAGGCACACTGTATCTCCCTTGTGAATGGTGTATTGTAGGCACAGTTTCAGTCCTTGAGCATTAACACAATCAACATAAAATAAAATTTAAAGTCTCTGTAAGTAACCTATGACACGACTTGGTTTCAGCTGCATCGGTGCCTTTCCAGCTTGCTTGCTAGAGTCACCACTTTAAGTTATTTACAACTTCAGCGTCACTGGATGACACGCTAAGAATCTATCACTGTGTACACTGTATCTCCCTGTGAGTGGTGTATTATAAACACAGATTCAGTCCTTGAGCAAGCACAAACAAAATAAAATTTAAAGTCTCTGTGGCACCTATGACACTCTAATAGGCTGGCAGTTGTCCTACCAGCCTGATTGCCAATATGTATTCATCACTAAGTTATTATAGTCTCTTCTGCATTCACTGATGACAACTATGAACTGATTTTAACTGAAGGCACAGTACTACACTCCCTGGTTAGTTCTATCACAGCCGCGGACCACAAATTAATCTAAAAAATAAAATAAAATAAAAAAGCCGGTCATGTGGCAGTGATTGTGTGGTTATAGGCCTGTGACCTGGCTGTACCCAACCTGGTGGAAATTGAGTTTTCAAAAATACAATCGTTGCAGCATGAAAAGTCCGACATCGATTTACACTTCACCTCACTAAGACGATCTTGACGAACGACGATCTTGATTTAACTTATGGAATCACTTCGTCCACCATACCGGTCGATGCTTAACACGCTTTGGTTACAGATTTGACCCGCCCGCCCGCAACGATGTAATTCAATAAGCACTGAAAGACAGGAGGCCCTGTTCAGAACTAAGAGGACAGCTTGGTATTGAGAGTCTGGGCAAAGCCCTGCATAGAGACAGGGTGAGATGGTTTGGGCATGTGGAGAGATTGGATGAGACAATTGGGTCTAGAGGAGCATCAGAGCCAGGGGCAGGCCAAGATTAACACGGGGAAAAGTTGTAAGATGTGGCATTAGAGTTAGGAACCAGACAAGAGAGCCCGCAAGAGCTGCTAATCCACACAAGCATGTAAAATGGCCATAAAGTGATGATGATCATGTGTATTTGTAGTGCACCATCCAGTATAAGCATTTTATGCTCAACAAACTAACTTATAGTGGTTCTCTCAGTACAGTAGAACGTCAATATAACATGAGATACGTTCCAAGAGAGGTCGCTTTAAACCGAATTCGCATTAAATTGACGTGTTGTTTCAATGGAATTACTTAGTTTGGTACTTGAGAGAAACACAAAATACTAAAAAGACTGACAGTCTACCCAGATGCACCTCAGATCATCTCCTAGAATAAACAAAACATTGTTTTTTGTAGTATTATGTTAAAACAAACACCCATAAATCAACACAGCTAAAATTATGGGACGTGAAATGGTTTGTTTACTAGCGATCAGCTGATGGGATGGTTTGGGGGGGGGGGAGGTGATATGTTTGACAGTTGATGCCAAGGTCTAGTGCTTATTTGTTTATCTGTCCTTAAGAGTGACTTTTAAGTTTTTCTCTTATAAAATGTCACTGAACTGACATGTTCTAATTAATTTTATTACAAAGGGCTAAAATTTTTATCTCGTGCAAAATATATGACTCTTAATTTAAATTATTCGCTGTCTTGCAAAGATTCTAGCAATGCAAATTATATTCTCCTAACTTTAGTCTGTGATGTTATATAAGATAAAAACTTAAAGCCTAAAACTACCAAACCTTGGCTGGGAAGATGGGGGAGAGGGAGGGAGGGAGGTAGGTGACATGTTTGACAGTTGTGCCGAAGGTCTAGTGAAGTATTTATTTGCTTATTTATGTCCTTTAAATTCAGTTTTTGTTTTTTGTTTTTAAAATGTCACAGAAGTGACCGGGGAGAATATAATTTACATTGCTGGAATTCTTATATGATAGTGATTACAGGTGCTCCTCTACTTCAGAATGTTCAACTTACAAACTTTCAGAGATACAAAAATCATCACTGAGGGCGGTTACCTGCCAGAACAGGTGTTTAATGTGGATGAGACTGGATTATTTTGAAGAAAATTCCAGATAAAACAAACAGTACCTAAGAGGAGAAGAGTGAGCCAGGTTTTAAGGCTGTATTAAAGGGTATAGCTGTACTAAATATCCATAATCTTTTCATTTTCTACAATATGTATGGTATCTACAAGAGTAAAGTTGGACTTACAAACAAGCCTCAGGAACTTAACTCGTTCGTAAGTAGAGTAGCACCTGTAATTTGAATATAATCATGCTATAGTTTGCACTCGACAAAAATTTTAGTAATCATTTAATACATTATTTTGAGTACAGCTTTGCCCTTAGGACAGTGTAGCGTGCCCAGAGAAACATTAGGCGCGAATTTTAAAATGTGATGCGCCAGATTGACTCGTGCAAAATAGGAAAGATTCGCTTTAAATTAAAACATTGTCCTTAATTGTGGGTGTCGCTTTAAATCATTAATCTTAAATTGAATCGCTTTAAATCAACGTTCTAATGCACTGTACTTTCAAAATATTATTTCAAGAAAACTAATTGAATTTCCATGTCACTCTGCTGTTACACTAAAATTTATTCAACAAGTTATGTCATTCTCTGCCGGCCCAGGTTTTCCCCACCCACAATGTTGCACCAGGATCCCAAATACCTTGTTCAAACATTTTCACATTTTTGGGATTAAATTTAATATCAGATTACTGTACAGTGCCACCCTTATTCCTTCAGGTCCTACATTCCTTTTTGGTGCCAAACATTATTCTAATAACAAGTTTTTTCCTTGAAGGTTGGGGTAGTCACAGAACTTGGAGGAACAGGAGAAGCAGAAATAAACACAGCAAGATGTAAGTTCAGTGCACGTCAAGCAGGACAGTACAAGATCTCCATCCTTCTTGCCAATCAACACATTCGTGGTAGCCCTTTTGCTAAGAACTTTCTTCCTGGTAAGTTACTAAAAAATTATATATATACATACCCAGTATATATATATATATATATATATATATATATATATATATATATATATATATATATATATATATATATATATATATATATATATATATATATATATATATATATATATATATATATATATATATATATATATATATATATATATATATATAACCGGTCGGAATTTACTGGGCTTTAATTTCTCACTTGACTTGGGGTTTATTAAAGATTATTAGATGGCAGTGGAAGCGCCCCTTAGTGAGAAATCCCGAACCAGCACAAGAACACTTAAATCTACTAACCAAAATGAATTGTCCGTGACCCGTGGAAGGATAGCGTCTGTGACTGGGATGAATGAGACACACTGTAAAATTTAGACACTTATATTCCCTCCAACACTACAGACACAATCAAATAATGGTACACCAATATATGCACCTCTTAACTTGAACTTAAAACACTACTCTGGGGAATAAAAGTTATACATGATATTGAAATTATTAGAAACTCAGGCAACAATAAATTTAAGGTATTAAGAAATGTTGCTTTCACATATGAAACAGGCCTTAAGGGCTTTCAACAAAATTATATCACCCCAACAGATGCACAATTCCTAACCTAACTTAAACACTACTTTGGGGAACAAAGGTTATACCTGAGATAGGAATTATAAAGAAAAATTAAATGCATTAAAGGAACTAAATCACAGTATCACTCTGGTTTCAATAAGTGATACAAGCATTAAAAAACAATACTATCAAAATTATTTAAGAAATATTAAACTACACACATCAAGATAATATCAGTAACTGAAAGAAATGGTATTAACTACACACCAAATATTATCACTATTATTGAGATGTTACTTGGTCCACCAATACCCGTGAACCATGATTCACCCAACTCAACATACACCCGTGATAAGGGAGATAAAATGTTTCTCTAGGTATCCCCTAGACTCCTGGTCTCAGTGTGTGACCATTAATTTACTCAGATTGCCTCAGTGTACTCTCAGTGCGTCCATGGGCGGGAAGAGAAAACGCCTGCAGGTGATTATGGCCAGTAGGTAATACTTCTAGCTGAACCGAGGGCACGTGGTGTTATGCACCCACGTGGTAAGAACTGATCACCCAATGCTGGTCCTGTGTCGTTTTAGTTGTCGGGAGCACCCGTCCACTCAAGAGATCCTTTGCTACCCGCTAACCAGTGACAAGCCTACACTGATTGTTCCAACGGCGACAATCGCCAATCCTCAATCATCACGGCAGTCTCAAACGGCAGTCAATCTCTCGCAGTCAATTTCTCGCAGTCAAACTCGCGGTCAAGTGGGTTCTGACGGAAACCCTGAAATGAACTCACTGTTAGCTCTTGTTAACTTTATTACTGCCCTATCTAAACCCTGTCTGAGATCGAATGAGACTTACTTGTTATACTGCAATAGTGCAGCACAGGTGACTAGGCCACGTGACTATTTCTGTGGACGGACGCGCAGGGATGTCCTGTAGGTCCAATCGCTTTCACGTGACTGAGGACCAGCCAGCGTCGTGTCTCTCCAAGGCGCTAGCTTAGGCCTAGTGACATATTTTCCGCCTAACTAATAACTCCTTGGGACACCCGTAACATTATTCAGACTGATAAACGATCTATATTAATTCCAAATTCAATAATAGTCCCTTAACTTCATGAATCGCATCATTATTAATTCGGCAAATTACATTCAATATCATATAGGCCTAGTTCCACAACCTCTTGCTATGTGCAGGGAGCGCTCTCTTCCCTCAGATGACCTTGAAAGCTCAGTATCGCCAATGGCGCGGCGTTTGAAATTACACTGAAATTTCTGAATATTACAATCGACCCCCCTAAAAAAATTGTTCTAAGAAACTGCATCTCGCCCCTTTAACGTGCTAAACGCAGCATTCACGTCTTCTCTTCTCCCCTTCTCTCTCCCGCTAATATATATATATATATATATATATATATATATATATATATATATATATATATATATATATATATATATATATATATATATATATATATATATATATATATATATTTATATATATACAGACAGACCCCAACTTACGACTGTTCGACTTACGACCGCCTCAGATTTTTTATTAATTTTTTTTTTTTTTTTTTTTTTCCCTTCAAATGACACACATTTTCTATACCGAAACGTTTCCAGTTAATGTAGTCTCTGTGTATAATTAGAAAATTATAGGGACCCCATGTGCATTCAGCTGACTACATTAAAGGTAAGTGCTCATTCACACTGTAACCATTCCTTATTATTTATTACTTTCACTGTACTGTATCCATTCCTTTTACTGTACTGTATTTCATTGTAGATTATTTGTTTATTTAAAAAAAAAAAAAAAAAATTTTTTATCTACTGTATATCGGACTTCGACCATATGGACTTACCACCATGTCGGATTTATGACCATGTCGGACTTACGAGGTGGATTTGGGTCCCTAACTTAAATGCAAAAGTCTGTCTAATATATATATATATATATATATATATATATATATATATATATATATATATATATATATATATATATATATATATATATATATATATATACAGTTTACCCTTGCGCTTTTTAACGTTTTCATATCGTTCTTGCAACGAACTTTCTTAACGGGATTTTTCACAGCAACGGTGATGTCGTCAGCTATTTTGTTCGCACCCCCCCGCACCTGCCTGACGCTGTTTTAGCTCATAAAATTCTACAAATTACCCAGCCAGAATATAGTTTTTGCTGGAATTCTTATAATTTGTTGATCATTTGAATATAAACAACATATTTTTGCATTAAACATACAATTTTTGATAAATGTTTAATCTGAGTAATATTTATCTTTTGTAAAATAATTTTTTCAAAATATTCTGGTCTTAAGGAATCAGCAATGTCAATTATATTATCTAACTTTAGTTGAGTATTATTTATTAAAATTTAGTGGTTATCCACATCTCTGGGGTTGGTGGGGGGGGGAGGACCACGCGACCATCTGTTACCAGTGAAAATTATTTTTAACTGAAGATATTTGTTTGCTCATAAATTCATACAAATTCGGTCAGAATATAACACATTGCTGAATTCTTATAATTTGGTGATCATTTTTGATATAAACCATATTTTGCATTAAACATAATTTTGTAAATGTTTAATCTGTAAGTATGTTATCTTTGTCCAAAATATATGCATTTATATTCAATTTCCTGGTCTTACAAGAATCAGCGATGTCATATATTATCTAACTTTAATCTGATTTTAATACTGAATGGAGGGGTGGGGAGGTTAGGACTGACCGCGCGTTGGAAGAGGAGGTGGGGTACTTTGATTGACGGATAGTGTTGAAGAATATATTTTTTTTATTAACTGTGATATTGTTTTTGCTCATAAAATTCGTCATTATCCGGCAGAATATAATTTACATTGCTGGAATTCTTATAATTTGGTGATCATTTTGAATATAAACAACATATTTTTTATTAAACATACAATTTTTAGATAAAATGTTTAATCTGAGTAGTATGTTATCTTTTGTGAAAATATATGACATTTATATTCAAAAATTCCTGGTCTTACAAGGAATCAGCAATGTCATTATATTTTTCTAACTTTAGTTTGAGGTTATCCATCTCCTTGGGACGTTGGTGGGGGTGGGGGAGGCCAGATCTTTCTGCTGTGTGCTGTGTGTGAGGGAGGGTTGAGTCCATTATTTGAATGGACATTAACAACGACTGTATTTCTCTAGTATTAATTGTGCATGTCCATCATAAATTAAGATGTTATTTTTACTACAACATAGTTATTTGTCGTCAAAAAGTGGGTTGGGGGTCAGGCTGTTCTTGATTAATCCCTATGTTCTGTTCAATTGAACGTTAGTGTGCCACTGTATATATATATATATATATATATATATATATATATATATATATATATATATATGAACCCTCACTTTAAGCTGTTAATTCAAACCACAGGGTCGCGGAGAGTGAGGCAGCGTAAAGTGAATAACATAACATATGGGATTAATGAGTCCGGGCCGACCTAGCTTATGTTGTAGTAAAAATTTTATCTTAACTTTATGATGGTATGAAAAAACAAGTAATATAGAAGAGGTTAGGTTAGGAAAAATAAAGGTTAACATAGGAAAAATAAAGGTTAGGTTAGGAAAACTAAAAGTTAGGTGGAACACTTACGTTAGTAGAAGAGATGGGTCGGCATATGGGGATGGAGGCTGGTTCCGAGGCAGAGGGCAGATTACTGGCCCTCAGGTGAATCACCATTACTAGGTGAATCACCATCACTGTCACTTACAGTTGTCAGGGCTTCCCTGACAAATCCCTCAAAGTCATCTTCACTGTCACTATCACTGGCTTGGGCTGGCTGTGGTGGGTTGCGGGCGAAGAAATCTGTTATGCTTTGCTGACGGCTGGTGTTGATGTTGTCGCGATACACCTTGATGTAGGGCTCCATAGTCTGCAACAGCTGGGTAGTGAAGATTTCATACCTGTTTGCGTCAGGGTCGTCGGAAAGGAGGAGCTTGGCTTTCTCGATACACTCGATGGCACCCCTAACATTACTATGGGATAAGTGTTGTTCTTCTTGGGATGACGAACCACCTGCCTCTTCACTGACGTCGTCATCATCATCATCTGCCATCTCCTCGGTAGTCACATCAGGATCTCTGATCACCTCCAGGATGTCGTCGTTGGTGGTCTCGGAGAAGCCTGGAACTGTAACAGTCTGCGCAGTTTCTCTGGCAAGGTCCACTGCTACTGCAACATTCTGAACCTCACCAGTCACAGATTGACTCCTCCTCTCACCTGGTATTCCATGCAACACATGTCTCCATGCGTGACGAATTGTAGCAATAGACAGCTGATCCCATGACTCCAGCAAGAAGTCCACAGCTTTCTTGATGTTAAATACTCTCCAGAATTGTTTGAAGAGTATTTTTTGCT